AGTGTTCCATCTCATTTCCCTTTGGGGTTGCTGTAGGTGATCTGGAAGTCTGGTTTTGAGACTTATTTACATGTTTTCTCATTTCGTCTGGGGCGGGGGGCTGTTAGTGCCTGCACGGATTACCTCCTCTGAGCTGGGTGAGGTGGGACAGGGGCCAGGAGCAGCAGTAAGGATGGTGACCCAAAAGCCCTTTCCTGTGGGCTGGGAGCAGACAGAGGGATGGTGGCCAGGAAACCCCTTCCTCTGGACCAGGAGCAGTGGGATGGTGGTTCAGAAGCCCCTCCTTCTGGGCCGGGAGTGGTGGAAGGGCTGGTGGCCTGGAAGCCCCTTCCTCTGGACCAGGAGCAGTGGGATGATGGCTCAGAAGCCCCTACCTCTGGGCCGGGAACAGTGGGACTCATTACCTTGGTCTGGTGGTCTGGTGTCCTCCGAGTCTTTGTAGTGTGGAATCAGGTGGCTGCCTGTCTGCAGCGGGATGATTAGGTGTCTTCTGCGTGACTCGGGTCCTGGGTAGGGCGTGCACAGACCTGCCTGTCTGCAGCGGGCTGATCGGCGTGTGTTCCGGGAGACTGGGGACCTCGGCAGGGTTTGGGCAGACCTGCCTGTCTGCAGCGGGGTGATTCGGTGTGTTCTGTGTGACTCAGGACCTCGGTAGGGCATGGGCAGACTTGCCTGTCTGCAGCGGGATGATTAGGTGACTCAGGACCTTGGTAGGGCGTGCACAGACCTGCCTGTCTGCATCGGGCTGATTCGGCATGTTCTGTGCGACTCAGTATCTAGGTAGGGCATGGGCAGACCTGCCTGTCTGCAGCGGGGTGATTCGGCATCTTCCGCGAGACCTAAAAACATTTTTATTAAAATAAAAATGTCTACTTCATGTCATCTTAAATGTATGTACTTTATAGCCATCATTATCTGGCATAGCATGTACTATGAAACACTGCTTTAAGACCAGGTCTACTGAACTAGAAATAACCTCATTAAGCAACACTATATTTAGAGAGTAATTATTCATTTTTATTTTTCAATTATTTTTCAGGTTTGTGGAGGGAATGCTTAACATTTGTTATAATGCCATTGATCGTCATATTGAAAATGGTAGAGGGGATAAGATTGCTATCATCTATGACAGTCCCGTTACAAATACTAAAGAAACTATCACCTATAAAGAAGTCCTGGAGCAGGTAATGTAATACATCTTTTCTCTGTATTAGAAGTTACATATAAATTTTTAAAATAGCACACTTCCTCATTATATAGCTTTAAAAAAATTCACTATGTAACCATGTTTTTTAAAATTTAAAAAAGTTTAGTGAATATTTGCATACATAATGATTACATTCATCATGAGAGCTGGTACATGTTCTAACACATCTTAGTTCTTTTTACCAACCCTTTCTTTCCTCTCTCTATGCACCCTGGAAATTAATACATGTGTGTGAATTCATTTACACCTTTATTCATAGTACTGAAAGATGCTCATTTTACAGAGTGAGCTTGGTAAATCTAAAGAATCTTTCTCTGGCTTTTGCTCTCCACCCTTGTTGCTATTACCATTGTTAAAGATATGAATGACTACTCATTCTTCTATGATTGAGGAAGTCTCCGAAGTGTCTTTCTGTCACCAGACTGCTCATATTAGATCACTGCCTAAAGTGATTCCAGAGTTCTTCTGCAGAGGTAATATCATTTCTTTATCTCACTCTTTTTCTAAAAATTATTATTATTCAGAGAGGAAAATCTGTACTCTTAGGATGTGAAAGATACTTGAGATCCGATCACAGCATTCTTTCCAGGCTTCATTTCCCAACATTGTTGGGCATTCAAACACCTCTTCATTGTTCTGGATGTCCTGTCATTTCCTTAGATACGGTGCAGCCCTTTGCAACACTTTACAACTGTTCCTTGCTTTATCATATTTGCTCTTCTTAATGCTTTCTCATCTGTTTAGTTCTTAGGTGGATCAACATGTTGACAGAAGTATTATAAGATTTTGCTCTTTTCAACCTGAGAGTAGAAATAAGGTTTCAGAAGTATTAAGAAAATAGTTGACTATTGTGGACTACTGGAAAGTTGTTCAAACTCCATAGAGCAATTATTCATATATGACTTGTGGAGCATTTGTTCATGTATCATATATGATTTACAAAGGGAAAATGATATACAGAAGAGTTTCTCAATCTTAGCTCTATTAATCTTTTGGATGAGAAACTTTCTTGTTGTTGGCTATGTGTACACTGTAGGGTGTTTATCAGTATCCTTAACCTCTATTCACTAAGGCCTATGGCATTCTCTCTTACTTAGGAAGACCAAGTAGGTCGCCAAATATTGCTAACACCCACTTGGTGAGTAAATTTCCACTGATTAGAAAGCTCATCTTGAGTAGATTCTGTCATGCTGGGATTTGGAAACATTTGTTTTTAAATGAAGGTTTCTTGAATTCCATTCTCTACTTTCATGTGTTGAAACAAGTTCATGGGTCCATTCTATTTTTAGAAAGGTTAGTCAACTCTCCCAGACACTGAAATGATCTGCTTTTGAATCAGCATGTTCTTGTTCAGCCTTGCAGGAAATTATGACAGGGAGCTCAAACAAAACAGTTACCTCTGATCCTGAGTTGTAAACAACACAGAAAAATTAAGCTAGTTTACTTGAGCTGGGTGTCAGAATGGTTGCAGCAAAAAACTCCCATGTTAGCTAATTGAAACAAAAAGAACTCATGAAAAGAGAAGGCTGAAGAAGCAGGTTCAGAAAAATGGTAGAGGCCAGGGAAGAGGAGCCACAGTGAATAGATCAGGTGAACCCATAACTGGTCTGTGAGCTAGACTTGTTACCTTGAGTCCATCCTTTTGGATTGAAAGACAGAGTAGCAGCATCTAGTGGCCCCAATTTAGGTCATATCCCAGAGTAGTAGATTTGGGGAAGAAATATCTTGTCTTCTTTTGATTTTGTAGTGGGAATTTGGCCCCCACCTCCCTCTAGGAAATAAACAAAGGATATTCCAATCTAATAAGAATGAGGTTCAAAGTTGGGTGTGGTATTGCACACTTGGAGTGCCAGCACTCTGGGAGATTGAGGGAGAATGATCATAGATCTCAGCCTAGGCGACTTGGTGACTTAGCAAAAATCTTATCCAAAATAGAAAGAAGGAAGAAAGAAAGGAAGAAAGGAATAAAGGAAGAAAGGAAGAAAGGAATAAAGGAGGAAAGAAAGAAAGAAAGAAAGAAAGAAAGAAAGAAAGAAAGAAAGAAAGAAAGAAAGAAAGAAAGTCAGTCCTGGCTTTAATTCCCAGTACCCAAAACAAAACAAAACAGGAGTTCAAATGCTAAACAGTACATAGCAGAAAATCCAAAACAAAATAAATAGTACAGGGAATTATTTGTACTTATTATTGGTTTGTGAGTAGTAGTTGTGTTTGTAGAATAAAGTACACAGAGATGGAGCTCACACAGGGCTGAGTAAGGAAGGTACTTCATTATCAAATGGGCTTCTTATTCATGTGAGACTGAACTATAAGAGATAAAAAAATTTCCTGAAAATACATTATATTCTATATTTTATTGCAGTTTTGCATTTTCAGCTTTCAGAAGAATTTTGTTCATGCTTAAAAACATGTTCGTGTGGTTTGGGCATATTGCCACAATTTCATTTTATGAATATGAATGCCTAAGACATTTGTGAATTTTAATTGATATACAGATTAAGAAGTGTATTTATATGTTGTAAAAAGATTAACTCTATCAACATATTGAATTTGATACGTACCTAGACATCAGAATCAAATAAAAAGCTTTAGAGAAATCTGAAATGAAGAGTTATGCCATTCTCATTTTCTATCATTTTCTCTTTCAAGGAATTCTTTATGTAAATGTATATGATAATTGCACATTCATTTTACTTAGACCCTTTTCTGCTAACACACCTTATTTTCAAACATTGAGTCTAGACTCTCAGACTCTTTTGACATTTGTACTAGTTCACTGGTTTTTAGTTTAGCCTGACATCCAAGTACTTAAAAGAACAGTTTCTCTCACCTGCTGACAGCCTCTGATTCTCCTGGCTTTTCTTCTCTGAAGTACTAAAGGAAGAACTGTTAGGAAAGAGAGGGAGCATTGTGTGCTACTTTGATTACCTGCACTTGGTTCCATATGGCCTTTATTTTATTAAGTAGAGAAGACAGAGAGAGAGAGATTTAATGGCTAATGCCATTGAGATCAAACAAAAAGCACTGCCTTTGTACATTTCTTATTTAATCTCCTCATTTTATTTTTACTGTGAGTTTCTGGCTAGGTAAATCTTGATTAAGTTAGTCTTTTATTTAAGCTAACTAATTTTGAGCTAAATTACCTTGGTGACCTGAAAGATCTGAAAAATGTACAGAATGATTCTGGGCAGATCTTTTCTAAAACTGCCATTTTCTGTAATTCTGCATATTTGGGACAACTTTTACTAAGGATTTTGTACAGGGAATTTTAGCCCCTGTTAAAATCCATCATTTGCTCAACAAATGTTTATTTTATGTTCCAACCCTGTTAGGAACAAAGGATAATAGGAAAATGGACACATTTCTTATTGTGAGTGAATAAAGGAAACATACAATCAGACAATTTCCACGTAAAGCAAGGGTTATGATATAGGGCTTAGTTCTGATTGGTGTCGAAGCATGTGGGAAAGTACTTATATTACTTTCTTTTACTGTAACAAAAAACCTGGGATAATTCACTTATAAAAAGAAAAGGTTATTTTGGCTCAGACTTTTGAAGATTTCGGTCCAACGTCAGGCAGACCTAGTGCTTTGAACCTATGATAGATGTGCCAGAAGGCTATGGAAGGGAGCTTGTGGTGGAATAAACTGCTCTCTTCATGCCCAGGAAACAAAAGAGGGAGAGGAATGTGCCACATTCCCACAATAGTCTTCCAGGACATTCACCCAGTGACCTAAGGTCCTTTCATTAGCTGCTCCTCCTAAGGGTTCTACCACCTCCCAGTAGTGCCGTCCTGGGGAATAAGCCTTTAACATGCAGCACTTTGAGGTACACTTATTATACAAACCGTAAGAGCTCCCCACTCAGCCAAGCATAAGTAAAGTCTAGAAAGGCTTTCTGGAAGGGTTGACCTCTACACTTAGTGTAATTTCCTACCCTCTGCTTGAAATTATTTTTTGAGATATCTTATGGGTCATGTCACGTAATATTATTTTCTCAGTGAGATCCTCCCTCACCACATTAACTACAGATGTTCTTGCCCACATCATTTCATACTATTTTGTGTTTTCTTTTTAATTTAAGTTTGTTTTTGTTATTGTTGTTGTTGCATTGTTTTTTGAGATAGGTTCTGGGTATGTAGTTCAGACTGGTCTTGAACTCAGTGTGTAGCCTAGGTTGGCCTTAAACTTATGGCGCTCCTCCTGCCTCAGCCTCCTGAGTGCTGAGATTATAGACACATGCCACCATGCCCTGCTCTTTCTTAGCAGTTATTAACTTAGTTATTACTTAACAAATCTTTATTTCACTTATCTGTCTTTAGCGTTGTTTCCTTTTCTTTGTATGTAAGTTCTACAAGGGCAGAGATTTTTGTTTTACTTCCCTAATAGTGCCTGCCATTCATTAAAATGTATCAAATAATTAATGAGTGAATGACTGAATGAGTGAATGATCATTTGACATTTCCAACCAGTTTTCCTTATTACAGGAAAATCTTACCTTTAAATTGTATAATTAATAGGGCTTGATTATCTTTCCAAGTAAATGTTAACTTCTATCAATAAATAATTTTAACTTATTTTCATTATGCTTCATAGTCTGAGGTTAATATTTTGGCCTTTAATTTCTTGTACTTAGAAGTCCAAAGATTTGCATCTCAGGAGACACATACTGTATATCTTTATGTCTTCTCGCCTCTTAAACTTTTGAAGTCAATATCATATCCTATTGAATGCCAAGGAAATAAAAGGTGTGTATTTTCATGGGCATGCATATGTTATATGTAGTATTAGTCATTTTTAATTATTCCTGCATTGGATTTACTTTCTCTACCATAATTTGACTTTGAATTTACTTCTCTATGTGGAGTTTGCTCTTTTTTTCATTAAAACAATTATAATTTATCTATATATTTATTGGCTAAATAAGAATGTGACCCCTATAGGGCATTTGAGATATCTTCATGAATATATGTAATGAAG